TGGTGGTGGCGGTGGTGGTGGCGGTGGCGGTGGGGGTGGTGGCAGTGGTGGTGGTGGCGGTGGCGGTGGTGTTAAATACTGGATGGCGTTAAATACAACATTTCCTGCAAGGTCTCCATAGTCACGCACGGTAAGTGGTCACTGCTTTTTTGGCCTTCCTTCCTTCGGTGCACCACACTGCACCGCATGGATTGCACCGCGTCTTTATGTGTCAGCGCATTACTCAAACATACTAAGCCACACTACGTCGGACTCGTGCCGTCCAGCCGGGGGACTATGGCCCCCTCGCGGGCGAAGCAGCCCGCGTCTAGTATTGCTCATTGGGGAGGGTTGCGGAGAACGTGATGCATGCATGCGCCTGTCACCCGCATGTATGTCGGTGTGTTGTGTGTGACGTTATTATTATGGTGTATGATAACTTGTAGCCGTAGCTCCTACGAAGTCGGAAAGCGGAGGCCTTAGGCTGATTCGCTGTAGCCGTAGCGACTACGTAGTAGTCTAGCGGAGGCCTTAGGCCGATTCGCTGTCCCTCCGTCCGTCCCTCCGTCCGTCTCTCTATCTGTCCACCACGTCGCCGGTTCAATCCCCAGCGCGCGCGCGTCTTTTTTTTGCGCGCTTTTTTTCTTTTTTTTTCTTCGTATGCTTCATATGCTTCATATGCTTCATATGTATGCTTCATATGCACGTATGCATCTTATGCGATATGCGATATGCAGCGATAGCAGATCGCAAACTTCGACGTTCCAACTTCAACACACGCACTTCACGATACGTGCACACGCATCGTGCACGCACACGCACAAGCATATACTTCATATGCTTGATATGCACATATGCATATTATGCGATGTGCGATGTGCAGCGATAGCAGATCGCAAACTGCGATCTGCAAGCATATGCAATCTGCAAGCAGATGCAGTTTTCTGTTACATTACAGTAATGCCGTACCCGCTTAATACACGCTTCATATGCACATATGCACATATGCACCCATGCTTCATATGCACATGCGCGCAAATGCTTCATATGCAAGCATATGCCACATGCGATGTGCAGCTTCATATGCTTCATATGCTTCATATGCACATATGCACATATGCTTCAGATGCACATATGCACATATGCACATTTGCACGTATGCTTCATATGCACATATGCACATGTGTTTCATATACACGAATGCTTCATATGCAAGCATATGCCACATGCGATGTGCAATCATATGTGATCTGCAAGCATATGCGATGTGCAATCATATGCGATCTGCAAGCATATGCCACATTCGATGTGCAATCATATGCGATCTGCAAGCATATGCCAGATGCGATCTGCAAGCATATGCCACATTCGATGTGCAAGCATATGCGATCTGCAAGCATATGCAATCTGCAAGCATATGCCACATTCCAGGTGCAATCATATGCGATATACAAGCCTATGCGATCTGCAAGCATATGCAATCTGCAAGCAGATGCAGTCTTCTGTTACATTACAGTAATGCCGTACCCGCTTAATACACGCTTCATATGCACATATGCACATATGCACATATGCACCTAT